AAGGAAGTCTGAAGAAGAGTTGATGCCTTTGAATTGTGTGGTGTTGTTGAAGAATATTGAAAATGTCATGCGCTGTCAAAATGACTAACAAATCTGTCCTGGAAGAAGTGCAGCGAGAATGCTCCTTAGAAATGAGAATGGCCAGATTTCGTCTCACCTACTCCGGTTATGTTGTCAGAAGGGACGATTCCCTGGAGAAGGATATTATGCTTGGCAAAGTAGGAAAGCAAACCAATCCAAACTCACTGCCGTCGAGTTGGCTCTGACTCATAACAAACCCTCCTTGGGTTTCTTGAGGCAGTTCTGAGGAAGTAGATTGCCCAGCCTTCCTTCCAAGGAGTGGCTGGTGGGTTTGAACCATCAGCCTTCTGGTTAGCAGTCAAGGGCCTTAGGCACTGCAACGCCAGATGTCCCTTGGTAAAGTAGAGGGTCAGTGGAAAAGGGGAAGACATTCAACAAGACAGACTGACAAAGTGGCTGCAAGGATGGGCCCAAGCATGGGAAAGATTGTGAGAAGCGCACAGTACTGAGCAGTGTTATGTCCCTAGGGTTGCTGTGAGTCCGAGTCAACTTGATGGCACCTAACAACAATTACGGGACCATATGTCCTGGTTTGCCTTGATCCCATGATATGATTATCAACAACATCCTCTTTTCCTCCTTAAAAATATCTCAGATTGTAAGACTCATAGCTCACTCTTTTGTGAAATAGGTATACAAAAAAACTGTGAATTACTGTTTACAGGCAAGATAACTGTTTGTCCCTCAGGAAAGATGTAAGCAAAAGTGTTCCAAAGTTATGCTTTACCAGCATATATATTTTCATTAATAAGATGATATAAGGCATTATAATGATAAACTCCACATTAGCCCCTATTTTCTATTAGGCAAATAAGGAGCACACATGCAGATTGTAACAATACACAAATATTGACGAGTGACATAAATTCCTCCCATGCTTCTAAAATAGTATTGATTACTTCCTTCCAATTATGTATGCCTGTAAAGTTCCTTGACATAAGCCAAGAACCATTTCAAGACAGGAGAAAATAACTTGATTTCTTGAGAAAGCTAAGAAATTTTATTATATTATGTAAGGCAGTCTATTGGGGTAAGTGTTTTAATCTAGAATAATCCCCTCTTTTAATCAAAAGAATGAGCAGAAAAATATAGTGGATGGTAAATCTAAACTGGTGATAGAAGTAAGTGATTTATTTGAGGATACATTTTGAGCTTGAATTAGAGATCTGTACACTGGATTGCATGGAGCAAATATGTTGCAGAATTCCTCTTAAAGAGTTAAAAAAGCAAAGAGGTCACCTTGATGAGTAATGTGCACTTGACCTATGGAATGGGATTTTCATTTGCCTCCTGATATTCAAGCAAAAGCTGGACAATGTGTAAGGAAGACTGAAGAAGAATTGATGCTTTTGAATTATGGTGATGGTGAAGAATATTGAATATATCATAGACTGCCAGAAGAATGAACAAATCTGTCTTGGAAGAAGTACAGGAAGAATGTTTATTAGGAGCAAGGATGGGATGACTTCATTGCAAGTATTTTTAACATGTTATCAAGAGGGCTCAGTCCCTGGAGAAAGACATAATGCTTGGTAAATAGAGGGTCAGGAAAAAAAAAAAAAAAAAGGAAAGACCCTCAACAAGATGAATTGGCACAGTGACTCCAGCAGTGGGCTCAAGCGTAGCAATGATTGTGAGGATGGCATAGGAACGGGCAGTGTTTCATTCTGCTGTACACAGAGTTGCGATGAGTTGGAACTGATTTGACAGTACCTATCAACACTACCCACCAACTGTTCCATGGGAGGAAGATGAGGAAATCTTCTTCAATAAAGATTTACATTCTTGGAAACCAGTGTGGGTAACTATGAGTTGGAATTGACTTGATGGCAGTGGCTTTTTTTTTTTTTTTCTTTTAACAACAACCTACTGGATTTATGTTAAAATGAGCACCAAAGTATGAAAGTTATATCACTGCATTCTGCAAACAGTTTTCTCTCTGTTAAATTCCCTTTTCCCAAATGTGCTGAATTAGTAATGTCTTTAAAACATAAGCCAGAAGGTTGGTGGTTCAAACCCAACAGCCAGTCCATGGAAGCAAGACTGGGCAATCTACTTCTGTAAAGATTTACCACCTTGGAAAATTCTCTGTGAATCGGAATCGACTTGATGTCAATGGGTTTTTTAAAACACAAGCAACATATATGTAAAGGAATCTCTTTATTGTATGGCACAATATTTGTGTACAATGGCCACATGTAAACTCAAACATCTCATTCTCATTTTCAGCTCATGATAACAATTCTATTCCAAGCACCATGCCACAGTGATCTGATGTTTCTCTGTGTCTGCATTTTGTATCCCATTGCATTTTACCACTACCTTCCACTCTCCTTTGTTTGCATAATTTTCTGATGACTCTCTCTCTTTTTTTTTCTCTCTCTCCATATATATATATACATACAAACTACTCACACTTACACACATACATATTCACACAGATTCTCACTTGTTTTTCCTCTTAAAAATTGGATCATGCTAAGTGAATGCACTGTGAACCATCCTTTTCCAAACAGTCAACTTCTCTGTCATAATTACATTTTTCACTATTGTATAAATATCTATCTCTCTTATTATTATTATTTTCAACATTTAGAATTACATTACAATATGATATCCAGTTCAGTGCAGGCAAAATAAAACTACATTGTTAAGGGATATACATGCAAATGTGGTTCAGTGATAAAGAGAAGCAAGAGGACAATAACTGTATAAGTTAGTGAGTGTAGAGGTTATCATTGTAGAGGTCAAATGTTCAAGGGCAGTTTCTAGGTTACCAGGTCAGTTATTTTCTTTAACACAGGATATTGATGTTTGTTTACTATGCAAACATTTGTTAAAGTGTACATGTAATCATGGTGCCACATAAAATACAGAACACTCAGTTAAATCTGAATTTCATACACACACATATGCAATATTTGAGATACATATACCTGAAAATATTGCATAGGTCATATTTTTTCTATATATGTGAGTCCTAGGAGCTCTGGTAGCATAGTGCCTAAGGCACTTGACTGCTAACCAGAAGGCTGGCGGTTCAAACCCACCAGCCACTCCTCGGAAGGAAGGTTGGGCAATCCTACTTCTGTAGTGATACTGCCTCGGAAACCCAAGGAGGGGTTGCTATGAGTCGGGGCCGACTCGAGAGCACATACAACAACAACATATGAGCCCCAGGATTTTGCAAATGTTTGATGCTTTTGGCTGGTAACCCTGCCTTGGTGGTTGGATCCACCCAGTGGTGCCTAGCAAGAAAGACCTGATTCTTAAAAATCACCTATTGATCTACCCAAATCCACACATCCAGCTGGTCACTAAATGTTCCTTGTTCATGCTTCTGAATAATGAAGCAGAATGTGGTGGTTTTTCCATACCCTCAAGTCAGTTACAATTAACAGTGACCTCAGGTCCAACAGAGCAAAATATTGTCCAGTCGTGTGCCATCCTTACATCATTGTTATATTTGAGCCCATTGTGTCAGTCACTGTATCGGTCTGTCTCATTGAGGTTCTTCCTCATTTTTGCTGACCCACAACTTCACCAAACATGATGTCCCTCTCCAGGGACTGGATGTTCCTGATAACATGCCCAAAGTATGTGATATGAAGTCTAACCAACCCCCTTCCAAGGAACATTCTGGCTGTAGTAATTCTAAGAGGTCTCGTCATTCTTCTGACAACTGATGGTACATTCAACATTTTTTGTCAACACCATAATTCAAATGCATCAGTTCCTTTTTAGTCTTTCCTATGCATTGTCCAACTTTTGTATGCATATGAGGGGATTGAAACTACCATGGTTTGGGTCAGATGTACCTTGTTGTTGTTTTTGTTACATGCTGACGAGTCAGACCCAACTCATAGCAACCCCTCCTTGGGTTTCCGAGGCATTATCACTACGGAAGTCGATTTCCCCATGTTCCTTCCAAGGAGTGGCTGGTGGGTTTGAACCACCAGCCTTCTGGTTAGCAGTCAAGTGCCTTAGGCACTATGCTACCAGAGCTCCCAGAAAGAGTTGGCCCGATCTACCGGGTGGGGAGTGACTGGTAGGTTTGAACCTCCAGCCTTGAGCTTGGCAGGCAACTGCCTTAGGTCCGAAGCCATCCCCTAGATCCAATTTTGATATAAGAAGTCATATATTAAGGTCTCAGCTTTTCCACCTGTTTTCTGTATGACCTTAGTCTTCAAATGTAATCATTCATTTAAGCTTTCCTTAGTCTCGGTTTCCTCATTTGAACAATGAGATGTAATGACAGTTTTGTCATGAAAATTCAGTACTTAAGTGAAGAACATTTTGGAAATTGATAAACAGAAATAAAGTTACATTGCATTGCAGCTAGGGAAGTAAATGTAATTATCAATGCAGCATAATCCTACAGGATAATTGAGAAAATACATCAATTATGTAAAATATTCCAACTTGATTTCTTAGAATCATATCATAAAATAAAGACTTTGATATAAATTCTTCCTGATTTTTCAGTTCACAGAAACTGAAAATATCCTGCCTCCAGTGAGTCTACCTGGAAAGATTAACTATCCATATAATCCATTATTTCTCTATACATATCAGTTTGCATTATCTTCAACTTATACACTAAAGTACTGTAGTGGAATCTGTGTCAGCTATACAGAATTCCTAAGTACATTAATAATAATGTTTGTCTTCTAAAGATCAATGGGTTCAAAAGGTTTTTTTTTTTTTTTTAGGGAAACAATTCTTTTATATCATTTGAAGTATTAAAATATCTTGAATTGGAATCCAAATAATACCTTGATCAACGGTGCATTACAATACCAAAAATAAATACGGAAAGTAGTTGATAACAGGAATTGGGGATGGATGGCTGATGTCAACTATTCAACAATTTCATTTTACTTTGTCTAACCCTTGATCCTCTTTCTATTTTTCCCCAGCAATCGTAGTACTTTTTATCACCCTGAGGCGCAGCAAAAAAGAACCCCTGATCATTTCAGAGGGGGATGTGCGGGAGAACGTGGTCACTTACGACGACGAGGGGGGCGGAGAAGAAGACACTGAGGCCTTTGACATCACCGCGTTGAGAAATCCATCCGCTGCGGAGGAGCTAAAGTACCGACGAGATATCAGACCGGAAGTGAAACTCACCCCCAGGCACCAGACGATGTCCGCCCTGGAAAGTATAGATGTTCAGGAATTTATTAAGCAAAGACTGGCGGAAGCAGATCTAGACCCAAGCGTCCCTCCTTATGACTCTCTTCAGACCTATGCCTATGAAGGTCAGAGATCAGAAGCTGGATCTATCAGCTCGCTAGATTCAGCAACGACGCAATCAGACCAGGATTACCAGTACCTTGGAGACTGGGGACCTGAGTTTAAAAAGTTAGCTGAACTCTACGGAGAAATGGAATCTGAAAGAACAACTTAGGGGGCCAAATCCAGAAATGGTGTAGAATTTGCTTCCTGAGCGAATAGAAATACAACCTCAACCATGGCAAGGAAGATGTGTGAAAACAGTGCTTGGAACTGAGCAAGCTGTACACAGCTACCGTAGAAACAAGTGCCCTTTTCAAGATTGAAAGTGGGTTATTTAATTGGAAGAAAGTCAAGTTTCACCCCCCCCCCCAAAAAAAGTACAGAGAAAAAAGCTATTGTTTCTTGTGTATATTTTCAATTGCTCAATAAATAAAGTCTGTGGTACAGTTTAATTAAGAACACCTGAATTAAGCCAAATAATGATATTTGTTTCAATATTTTGTGATTATTTTTCAAAACAAAACTAAACAACTGGGCTCATGATCTCTGGTATCTATGATTTATAGGGTGGTAGACTGCAACATACGGCTCATGAAAGGGATCACAGCCCCTCCCCTTCTTTGGGTGGACGCTTACGACCCACACACTCTGTTATTGTGACAGATCTCACTAGCCTTGTCTTGTGTTTTAACTTCATGAGGTGTCTCCAGTATACCAGGCCATCTCTCCTGGACTTGTATGTACAATGTCCCTTTGCCCTCCCCACTTCTTTTCTCCACAGAGGACTGATGGAGCATGGGGATTTGCTGCCTGCACTCTAATGTATGCAACTTCTGTGCACCAGTCGTGCACCGTTCTGGGATCCGGGACTGCTGTCTCTGTCCCACCCGCCCCCTTTTATTTCAACAGGAGAACTTTCCTTTTGTAAATGGATAGAATGAATGGTTTAAGATATACTCAGAGAATCTGCTATGTCAGGGAAAGATTTAATTTTCAAAATAGCTATAACCCTCTCCTGTACAAAGCATTGAAGAAATATCTCATTGGTTTTGATTCATGTGACTCGGCAATTTTGATCATTCCTGTTATTCAGAAACAATTTCATAAATTTGCTAATAGTTTTATAATTAAGTCTACTTTGCTTATTGATGTCATAAGCAGTCATCATACTATGTACCTAACACAATCACTATGTAGTCTAAGAGACTATCATAGAGTTTACATACATTTTATATACTCCTGGAGACTCCGGGTGGTGCAGACGTTTAAATGATGCATTACTAACCAAACGTTTGCAGGTCAAATCCACCCAGAGCTGTCTTGGAAGAAAGACCTGGCAATCTACTTCCAAAAGATCACCACTATTAGCGACACTAAGGAGCACAGTTCTTCTCTGAAATACATGGATCACCATAAGTTGAAATCTACTTGATAGCATTTTTTTTTTCCCCTCATACTTTTGTGGTTGGCCCACTGTCCCTCACATGGATACAGGCTTTCCTGCCTGACTTACTCACTGTCCCTTATATATTTGTGCAAATGTGTAGGATAAGTAGCAAGGTCATTGGAGCTGCACATTTATTAGCCTTGGACACATCCCCTAATCTCTCTGAGTTTCCAGATTCAAAGCCGCAAAATAGAAATGAGGACGCCTTCGCTGCCTACCTCACAGGGTTGTTGTGAGGACAAACTAAGCACCTGTAAAAATGCTTTGCCAACTCTAATTTTCTCTTTTTATTGGCTTATGGATACATATCTAAATACACTTTGCATCAAATATTATTCATGCAATCTTCAACTGTGAAGCTACCGCTCCATCTAAATATGTAAAACAGAAGTCTACTTGCTTTAATATTTTCCTAAGAAAGCTATTTTTCTTTTTAATAATATTTTCAGATAACCTTTTTGTTGTTGCTACTGTTGGACTTGAATAAGAATTCATAGCACGCTGGTCTTATTTCCCAATTAATGACCACAGCTATGTATCTCAGCTAAATTGCAATTTTAACACCTATAAAGTAAGAATAATTTAGAGGTGATTTTTTCCCTTTGCTCTTGACATTATCATAACCCAGAAGCCCCAAAAGTCATAAGACATTTTCCTTCTGATTCTACCCATTTGAAAATGTTGGATGTTGCATCTCATTGCAACTGGCCTGTGCTCTCATATCACAGTTTTGAGGTATGGGAAGTAGGTGAGTTTAATTGGAATAATTCTCCATTGGTGTTTTAAGCTTGAGGAATAAAATATAATTTAAGCTTTTGCAACATACTAGCTCTCCAGGTGCTGTTTTATCCTTTTTTCCTGTCATAATGGTGTGCATTCTGGTGTAAAGCTAAATCAAAAGAGACGTTCAGGGGTTTTGGAGAATAAACTCTGACCACACAGACACTGCTTGTTCTAATGTCAGTCCACGTTCACTCTGGAAGGGAGGGAAACCTTTGGAGAACTACATGGATTCTGGTGCTTTGACTCTCCCATTCAAACAGGATCAGAAAGCCAAGGTTCCATAATTTCATTGAGCTTTTGGATTTAGTTGACTCATAAATTATCCCTAGTCATTTTTTTGGGGAAAAAAAAATGTTTACCTGGCAAATTTACAGATAAGAGTTTTAAAGATGAAACTGAATGTATGCTTCTAACCATTTATGTCAAGCCAAGGTCTTCTGCATGGTTCCAAGTACTAAAATATTTTTTCTGATTTTGTAGGACAGAGCAATCCAGATCATTTAATTTTAATTACATATTACAATGATAATAGGTTACTTCTAAGCCCCTGACAGTAAATCAAAATATGAAAGAAAAATGAAGCTGTGCTAGTCTGGAAATATTATGTTTCCTTATTTATTTAGCTTAAAATTTTGTTAATGAAAGTATTCAAGTATTACTGAATATTATTTTTATATGAACGTTGAAGCTGGGCAATTACATTACAATTTAGTTATCACTTGGCTCTCATATTCTTTATTCTGCTATTTTGAATCAAGAAAACAATGCTGTTATATAAATGCTTTGCAAATGGTCTCAAGTCATTTAACATTCAATACCTTGCTTTTGAAACTTCAATCTATCGGTGTTAGAACAAAGTTCTCTTAGAAATTAGTGAGCCAAGGGCTTGCACATCAACTATGAACATTCATTGGATAGAACTAATCATTTATAGAATCAAATGCCACTAATAGGTCTCAGCACATTTTGTAAGCCTTAGTTGACATTTATAGACCTAAATAAAATACAACTTTTAAATCAATTTACTTTTTTTTCTAATAAAATAATATCCTACCATCCAACATGCTCAAAATGGTGGCTGCAAATTTGAGGAAACAAGAATGGGTATGACAGTACTTATATCCAAGTTATTTCTTATCAGAATTTATAAATTCCAAACATTCTCTCTGAAAAAGTGAGAGTTGGGTAGATATTATAAAAATCATTAAAGTCCTTTCATCAGAAATTCTTTCCATGACAATCTATACAATATAGTTTGAAGACCAAATTGAACAGGAAATCATCACTAACATTAGGCTCTATACACATCTGAGTGTGACTTTTCAATAATTTAGGGCAAGAAGGATGATATTATGACAGATACACACACACACACACAGTTGCTATACACAAATACTTTACACGCACACACACACACACAAGTATTAGAAGATTGGAGAGCAAAACAATGTTCAAAACAGAAAATGATTGAATATTGTAATAATCCAAATATGTGATGTATAAAAAATTCTAATATCTACCATATGGAAGGTTCCTCTAGAAGGTAAAGACATTTTATTGGTCTCCATTTTTTATCCATTCTCAGTGTAACTTTCAATGCTGGCAGTGTTAGGGGATATTTCACAATTCTAGTTATACAAAGAACAGAGAAAATTATCAGAAATAATAAAGTTGATGACACAGAAAAGCTACTAGGTACTATCAAGTGCTTTGATATACCTATTTAGTGCACTAGAGTATAGTCAGACATCTGAGTAAAGGAGAGAAGAATATTCAAAGCACAGTTTTCAACAATGTAGAAAGTTTTCAGTATACAGTCACAATTTTGTTTGTACTTAGAAAACAGCCTTTTTTTTTTTTTAATTCCTTTTCAGTTTATCTGAGTATATAGGAGAAATAAACAGAAATCCAGGTAGAATCAGTTACTTTGAGCAGCCATCAAGAAGGGCTAGCTACCTGAGCATGTACTCAGAAGACTGGGACAGTCTAATTCCAATAGCTTTTTGATAAGTCTTCATATGCCTACTAGGGTCCATAGCGCTTGATCTGCTTTCCAGCACATAGGGAATCTGCAATTGTTTATTCTAGAAAGAGGGCTTAGTAACATGTTTGAAAAGATGAAATTGTGCTTAGCCTCAAGGAATGTTAACGTTCAATTGGCTTATTTGGCTTTCAATTTCAGGAATAGGACATATCTCAGAAGAGTTCTTTGAAGATTGGTGACAAAAATTCAAATTATCTCTTTCATCAGTCCTTTACTATTCTAGGCAAATTAAATATTATCTGAAAGAAATAAAACCACATAATTTTTATTATCTACCTTACCTGCAGAAGGTAAATCTTTTTGAAATATTACATTAGAAATTAAATAAACTCTACAGCCAAAAATAGTTCTCCATTTAAAGATGATACTAGCAGAGAACTAATTATTTTTCAAAGTCTTAAAAGGAAATATTAAATGCAACATTTTTAACATGTTAAAAGACATTCCTGTGTTGAAGAGTACCAAAGAAAGATTTGTTGTTGTTGTTGTTAAATGCCTTTGAGTCAGACCTGACTCATAGCGACCCCTCCTTGGGTTTCCGAGGCAGTATCACTACTGAAGTAGATTTTCCAACCTTCCTTCTGAGAAGTGGCTGGTGGGTTTGAACCCCCAGCCTTCTGGTTAGCAGTCAAGTGCCTTAGGCACTATGCTACCAGAGCTTCTAAGAAAGATTCAGTTAGGCTTTATTTTAATAAAGGAAGAGATCAGAGGTAACCAGAACATATTTTTTTCTTTGAAGTATTCATCCCAAAACCCAACAACACCAAAAAAATTAGTCTAGTGAAGGGATAGTTGCATATATCCTCTTGGCTGAGTCTACTAAATGAAGTGTTTTACCCTGTCAACAGTGCTAAGAAATCAAAACCTGTTTTAGTGATGATTCTTTCAAAAATTATTA